GGGTTTTGGCCTCCTTTCTTGGCACTAAAGCAATAAAAGTTGCATTTGCTCCAAGCGATAATTTCCCTTCTTGATAGAACTCCACAAACACATCCATTAATTCATCTTTTAAAATTTCCCAACAATCCTGATAAAAAGCCATTGAAAATCCATCTAGCCCTAGTGCTTTAGGTCTATCCATCGAGAATATTGCTTCATGTATCTCCTCACTAGTGAAGGCTTTTTCTAGGAGGTTAATTTTGGATTCTGGCACTCTATCCCATTGTAAATCTCCCAATTCTGCCATGTTTTCATCAGAGGATGCTAGGATTGACTTTAAGTGATCCACAAAGCATCTTTTAATTTCCTCTTTTGCAGTTGTCACTCTTCCATCCACCTCTATACTGGAAATTTGGTTTTTCCGTCTTCTCCTATTTGCTAGAGTGGAAAAAATTGGAATTTCCACCCCCTTCCAGAAGCCATTTACATCTAGATTTTTGCCTCCAAGAAATCTCTTCTTTTCTTAGAATCTCTTCCAATTGCACTTTTAAGTTCCACCTTTCTATTCTATCCTCCACCCCACACTCTTTCCGGGCCTCCTTTTGGTCCACTTCCTCTATTTTCCTGGCTAAATCCTCCTTTATGACCTCAATTTTTCCAAATTCCTCTTTGTGCCACTCCTTGACCTTTTCCTTCAATCTTTTCAGTTTCTTAGAGAATCTCACCACTTTGTTTCTAGCCCTAATCCCATCTTCTTACCACCATTATTTTACCCTTTGCAAAAAGTTTGGAACTTCTAGCCACATGTTTTCAAATCTAAAAGGTGTGGGGCCACCAATAAGGCTTAAAGGGCAATGATCAGAAGTCACTCTAGGTAGGGCTTTTAGTGTCAAAGTGCCCCACAGCTCTTCCCAATCAATGGAGTATAGGAATCTATCCAGTTTTGAGCACACTTGATTTTCTTGGAGATTTGACCAGGTGAAAGAGGCTTGTAACAAGGTAGGCTCTTTTAGTTCTAGGGACTCAATTAGGGAATTGAAGTGTTTCATGCTAGATGTTAAGGGTTGGTTGGGGTTGTTTGTCTCATTTGTATATCTTATTACATTGAAATCCCCACTCAAACACCACGGACCCTCCCATATGCCTCTAACTGCAACTAGCTCTTCCCAAAATGAGTTCCTCTCTCTATATGAATTCGGTCCATACACATTAGTCAAGACCCACTCCCTTCCATCACTCATCTTCTTGGCTTTTATTGATACTGAGTACTGACCTATTAGTTCCTCCTGACAGTCAATTTCCTCATTCTTCCACATTGTAAGGATTCCACCCGAGGCACCCCACGACGGGGCAAAAGACCAACTTAGACCCCTGCAACTCCAGATACTTCTTATCCACTTTCTGTCCAAGTCCGAAAGATTTGTCTCCTGTAACATGACTATAACCGGTCTCTCCTTTCTTATCACATTCCTGATGACTCTCCTTTTCTTTGCACTTCCTAAACCTCTTACATTCCAGCAAAGCACTTCCATTTCACTCTTTTTTCCCCGACCCTAATTCAATCCCAAATCCCAAATCCTATTCTATTTGCCAAGCATGAACACACAAAACTGGAGGCATACACTGATGTTGATTGGGTTGGATGTATTGATGATAGGAGATCCACCTCAGTACATTGTGCTTTGGTGGCAGGGAACATTGTCTCATGGAAGAGTAAGAAACAGTCTGTAGTTGCTAGATCCTCTGCTGAAGTAGAGTACAGGGCAATGGCACATGGAGTGTCAGAATTACTGTGGCTGCGATCACTTTTAGAAGAGTTGGGAGTTGACTATGAAAAGCCAATGATGCTTTACTGTGACAACCAGGCAGCTATCAACATTGCACATAACCTTGTTCAACATGACAGAACTAAGCACATAGAAGTTGATAGACATCATATACGGGAAAGAGTTGCTTCAGAGGAAGTTTGCTTGCCATTTATCTCTTCAGAAGAGCAATTGGCTGATGTTTTGACCAAGGGGTGTTCCAAGAGGGAAGCTGACACACTATATATGCAAGCAAGGCATGATTGACATCTATGCTCAGCTTGAGGGGGGAGTGTAGAGAGACTAGGCCGAATGGGCCCTAGTATCTATTCTTTTATTTATGTAGTGTGTTATTTATTTGCTTGTTAATGGGCTTGTTACTTCCTTTTATAAGTTTATTTTAAGTTCTTTCTTAGCTGGCCGCCCACTTAAGGGCATACTTGTAATTAACTTAGAAAAAGAAGATTAACAAAAGGATTAGTGAGGGGAGAGAGGAGATTATCGAACTCTTCTTCTTCCTCTTCTTTTTTTTCTCTATTTTTAATCAAGTTTATATTAATTTTAGAGGACTGATTTACTTCTATTATTTCTTGTTATATAAAAGCAATAAATAAGTAAAATAACATAAATAAACAAAAAAAAATTTCAATTATTTGATTAAGATGTAAAAGAATAGATAAACTACCAATTATGCTTTACATCTAATTCAAAATATTATTAAATTCAACACCTAGTACATAAAGTTTATATGCTTTCCAACAATATACAGGTTGAGGGGGTCGGGTTTAGCCTAATATCGTACCCTACCCGTAACGTACGGGTTGTAGAATCCCAAAACCCGACTTGCCCCAAAACCTATCCTTCAAACAAAAAATCCCGCCTCGTTAAGGTGGGTAGGGTAGAATTGCCATCCCTAAACCCGAGATGCTTAGTTATGGTTGAGTTGGGCCCAGGTTGGTAAACTCAGGCTTAATCTTGAATTGGACCAAGCTTAAGCATGAGGTTTGAGACTTAGCATTGGATTGACCCTTAACCCGACCCAATCCGCTCAAGTTGCACCTAGCAAGGACTCATGCAATGCATGGGCTTTGTTAAGCGAAAGCTAAACAATAAAAGCACATAAGAGTAGACAATTGTTTTATATTTTAACCTTTTAAGTAATTAATAATTAGTTATATTTTATATACTACTTTTAATAATTTTTTACAATACTAAAATAACAATAATTAATTTCAGCTAGGTTGTTCATCAAACCGGTGAAACCAACCAACATGACCCAACTTGACTCGAGTTGGCCGGTTTTCTAGTATTTCTGGTTGGTTTCGGTTGAGCAATTTCCCAACCTAACCAGGTTGGGTCAATTTCGGGTTGGCCATTTGTAAATCGACAAAAACCAAACCGACCCAACCATATAACAAAACAAAATATTTTATATTGTAAGGAAAGTGGGAAAGTTCCCATATTCTTTAATTTATTTTTGAAAATTTTCTATTAAATAACAAAACAAAAATAGATTTATACATAATTGTTGAAAATATATTTATCACAAAAATATAATAAATAATTACTAAAAATACAATAAATATAACTTTTAGTATATATAACTATATATAAGATATAGATTAAGATTTTCAAATTATTATTAATAAATATCAATTTTTTGAAAGTTATTTTCTAGAATTATTAATTGATATAAGTGAAATAATGCTTTTATTATAAGTACATTAATAACTGCAATTAATATTATATTTTTAATATCTATTAAAAACATTTTTTTAAAGTTATTGCCTATTTTTGTTATTTGAAAGCTTCAATACCTCTAAATTATTTAATCTTTTTTTGAAGATAAATAAAAATAAACTTTATTAGAGAAAAAAAGGAAAAGGAGATTGCAACAGGGTGATAAGGAATCACCCAACAATAGTAGACCCAAAAAAAAACAATAGACCCGACGAAGCCCCTAAAAACAGAAAAAAAAAATTCCAGACATACCAAAGCACCTTAAGAAACAACCCATTATCCAAATACAAGTATCACAACAAAATCACAAAGGTCCCTACCACCAACCCCTAGAACAACTAAAATACACAATTGACTAAAAATTCCAAAAACCCAAATCTTGCCAAACATCCTGAAGTAAAATAATCCAGCTGATGAAAGGCTCAACTTAAACTTTATCCATTTTCTCATGATGCCCCGTCTAATCTTGAAATCTCTTGTCTCATCTGGGTAACTTGTATTGTTAGTACATAATTTCGTTATGAATTTCATAAAAGTATAAAATTATTAATATTTCTTTTGATAGATATAGATGAAAAGTGGAGGATAGGATAAATAGGAATTAGAGATAATTTAGGAGAGAAACTCTCTACTAAATTAGAGATAACTTAGTAGATAATTAGGAATTATATATAATTTAGGAGATAAATAGGAATTCTAGATAATTTAGGAGAAAGGGAGTGATGAGGTGGCTTCATGTGGGAGCAAGGAAGGCTAAAATGAAGAGGGGCTGAGAGTTCTCAGTTGGGGTAAGGGAGAAAGCTCAGGCCATCTGATGTGTCATTATTTCTACTTTATTATATATATAGATTTATTTGTTTATTTTGATAGATGGAGTGAACAGTTATTGCTGGAACTGCAAGGTGCCGCCAACCAGTGGGTTGGTAAGGTCTCCTGCTGGTTGTAGTGGAGACTTGGGACCGAATCCTGCCTGCACCTGGATTGGAGGATGGGCCACCCTCCATTGTGAAGCCCTTCAAAAGATATCAAAAGAAAAACAAACAAAAAAGAAAACGGTTATTGCTGGAACCAAAATCTTCAAGTGGTATTATTTATTAAAAGAACTTGCAATGGGACAGTTTGATTTTAAGCAAATAACTAAATGAGGAAGTCGATCATGATTCGTGCTCTCTGGAAAGTTGACATGTGAATGGGCTAAATGTTTTACAATACATGCAAAAGAGATGAGCATTGTATGGTCTTCTCCTTTCATCTATTCAAAATTGACACTTTTTGTTTAAAAAAAATATGTGTGAGTGATACAGACTGAGGTTTATACCATGTTCTATTTGAACCAAACTAAAATTACAGAACCTAGAAAATTGGGGGATTGATTCTAGTTATTGAAGTCCCAAATAATTTATATTTATACCATGATTCAAATCATGCACAATATATATAAATTCTTTCTCTGAGTGAGTTCATGCCACATTTTAGGTGACAACTCTGATGATAGAGCACATATACTGGACACACATCTTAGATCTATTCTTGAGAGGGTTCGATTGATCTATCTTCTTGAAAGAGAGGGAGGTTGGGATGCTAGTGTGAATTGGGAAGACATTCTTTCTCTTGGAGAACAGCAAAGACTTGGCATGGTAAGCCCAAAAAGTGTGATGTTTAAATATTCTACTTTAAGAACTTGCCACTAGAATATTTCTGATGGCTTCTTTTTATCAGGCCCGCCTATTCTTTCACAATCCTAAATTTGGCATCCTTGATGAGTGCACCAAGTACGTGACAAAACTATTTGTTTTCCCTTGGTTCAGTGATAAAAAAAGGAATACTTATTTGTTTGCATATACTTTCATCTGATGACAGTGCCACAAGTGTTGATGTTGAAGAACACCTGTACAAACTGGCAAATGAGATGGGCATAACTGTTGTTACAACCTCTCAAGTAAGTGGTGTATATAGCTTGCTGGTTTGATTTTTTACCATTATCCATTTTGACTCTTTGCAATGTATTCCATGTCTTATCTCAGCGGCCTGCTCTGATACCATTCCATTCCCTCGAATTGCAATTGATTGATGGTGAGGGTAAGTGGGAGCTACGTTCAATTAAGCATTGAGTTTGGAGTGCCACCTTCAATTGAGCATAAGTTGAGTGCCGCCTCAAATTGCAAGTAATATAATTTCCGTTGGGGTAATCAGAGTCGGAGCCCTTGACTGACAGTAAGGGAAAGGACCTGAAAATCTATTAGTATCCTTTGTGCCAAGATTGGCCAACTCTTATGATGCCTTTTTGCTGTCACCAAGGCCTAAAATGCTAAAACAGATACATCACAACATGCTAAAGATTTGGTGGTTGGCTGGATAACATTCAATCATTCTATGAGCTATGACTGTCAAAGAGACATTCAAGTAAAAGCGGGGTAATAATGTGATAATTGGGACAGGGCATGTTGTATGTAATATAAAGAAATCCTTCATGTACAGGCATGCCTGTTGGCATGCACTCATTTACGGTGTAAAAATGGATTATTGGCGATTGATTAGCTATCCCAAGAATAAAAGGGCAGAAGCTGGAGTGAAAGATGTATTAACAGTGAAGGTATCTCTTCAATTATTTATAAAATAAGCCCGAAATGTATTAATTTATTTTATTCCCGAAGAAGATAGGCCCTGGAGTAAGCAGGTGCTGGGAATTTTCCCATGGGTTCAAAGTTTATATTCTTTACCAGAAAACGTAGTTCATTAAATTTTTGCTTGTTTTACGTTTATTTATTTATTTATTTTAATTGTGGTGGATAAGGTGGAATGAAACAAGATTCAAAGTGTTCAGGAAAACTTTAATAATCCAAAAAATATGATTTTGTAACACAATGTGAGCAATGATTATAAGTTATATATATACACAACAGGCATCACCCTTTTACATACTTTAAAGGGTATGGGTTTCAATTATGGGGTTTGATTGCATGAATTCCGTTTCATCATTCCATTCTGTTCGGTTTTGTCAGAATGTGTTTCAATTATGGGGTTGATTGCATGAATTCTGTTTCATCATTCCATTCTGTTCGGTTTTGTCAGAATGTGTTTCAATTATGGGGTTGATTGCATGAATTCCGTTTCATCATTCCATTCTGTTCGGTTTTGTCAGAATGTGTTTCAATTATGGGGTTGATTGCATGAATTCNTTCCGTTTCATCATTCCATTCTGTTCGGTTTTGTCAGAATGTGTTTCAATTATGGGGTTGATTGCATGAATTCCGTTTCATCATTCCATTCTGTTCGGTTTTGTCAGAATGTGTTTCAATTATGGGGTTGGTTACATGAATCCTGATTCCCGATTCCGTTCTATTTAGTTTTGTCAGAATGTGTATCCCAAATCCCAATTATGGGGTTGGATACTTAATCCTGATTCCTGATTTGTCATTTCATCAGAATGTTTCAGTTGTGTAGTATGAGTATTATCTCAAACCACTTTTTTTGTCGGAATTTGTCATCATCGTCATCTAAGAATTATCCCAACTCCCAACTATGGGGTCGGTTACAATGTTGCATGAATCTCGTCTTGCCATTCCATTCTGTTCAGTTTTGTCAAAATGCTTCAGTTAATATAGTTTGTGTTAAATATCTACAGGTATGCAAATTTTGATAATCAATTTTGTACCATTTGTTGGCAAAATCCTCTAAGAGAATGTTAGAAGTTAAATGGTTTAGTTAATTTAATGTAACAATGTAGTGATTGATTTCATAATAGATAATACAATAAACCTTTCACCACAAAGGCACCAAATTCTATCGTACCAGTCATTAAAAGGGTGTATGATATGGGTATGGAGAACGTTTCAACTTACAATTTCTTATTTAAAAAAAATGATCCATGCGCGGCATGAAGTTGGTTAAAAGACGCTAATGAAGTAGTTGTGTTGGTCCAAGGCTTTTCAAGTTTTAACAGAAAAGATTTACTTATGTCAAGAGAAGCACTATTTGCCCCAAAATTTACTCTAAGTGCAATGGTGGTCATCATAAATTTTGTTAATAATCAGAATAAACTGTCCATGAGGGGGAGACATGAAAACCTTACCTCTCTAAAGAAGCTATACAAGATGGCATGATTAGGGTAGTCACCGATGCCAACCCATGAATCCTGCGTGGTAGATGTACATGATTAGGGTAGTCACCGATGTGCTCCTGTCATATGCGTGGTTAGCAAGAGTGAATCCCATGTTAAGCTCTTGAAGTGTGTGGTGAAATATGACTTTTATACTTAATCTTGCACTATAGAGTATAGAAGTATATAGATTGATATTGGCGGTGCCTGAAAGTAACAGCATCATAAATTGTTCTGAGCTCTGCACTAAGATTTGTTTCCATACCATAGAAAGTGGTAAAGGCAAATAAGATCATACTAGATTCATCTCTTAGCACTCCACCTCCACCTGAAAATTCAACGATTTACCCAAGAAGCCCCATCCATATTTCACCTAATGATCTCTAGGCTGTGTGGGAGGAGTGCAAATGCAACTATATAGAATGCAAAATCTTATATTTTATATTATTTTGTATGCATTTATACTGTACATATTTGTATTTGTACTTCTTCCAAACAAAGCCCTAAGGCTCAGTTTGGAAGGAGTACAAATGCAAATATGTGCAATGCAAATACAGACAATAATACAAAATATAAGGTTTTGCATTTGTACTCCTTCCAAACTGAGCCTAAGTAATTCCCATTGATAATTTCTGATCCATCGGGTGATTTCTCATATGTGAAGAAATTATAACTGAATCTTGTTAATCAGGTTTTCTTCCCTGTAGGTTGGCGACCAATTAATTTCCATTCAAGAAAATAATAGCATTTTTTTTTTGTTGCATAAATAGGAACCATTAAAGAAACATTAAAGGTACATAATTACACTTCTCAGGATCTCCTACCCACAAGAACTCTACTCTGCCCCACGTTTTAAGATCCCCAATTTGAGACTTATAATGGAACAACAAACCTAGTGGACTATACGTACAGAGTTTCCTAGCCCTTATGCTTTTGCACGAGCTCGGTGGAAAATATGTGCCTAGAATTTCCTACCACTTTGAGAAAAGCAACCTGGTTATGGTATTCTGAACTTCCCCACTGTTCCATTTCTTGAGAGCTCATTGAGCAATTCATAACCCATTTTGCCACTTAACGGCACATCTAAAGGCCATTTAATAGAAGCCTGACGAGACCCTCTGAGAATACATCCAGTTGTTCAATTCGAAGGCCCTCAAAGTGAACAACCAAGATCAATGGTGGTAGTGGTAGCAGTAATTCATAAAGTGAGATATGCCCGATTACCTTTTCTTTGGCGAAGAAGCCCTCGTAGACCATGACCAACTTCCACAATAGAGCTGAAAAGTACATTAATGTTGAGGAAGCGATGGGACTATGGCGAGACCAAGACGATAAGAAAAGCAAGAAGAGAAAAAACCAAGATGAAGAGAAGGAAGGAGGAAAAGGGAAAAAAGCAAAGTCTGGAGAGATCTTCCCTATGTGAAAGATCGTCACCTTGTTAGTACAAAAGGTATACACCTTTAACACTCGTTAGAGCAAGATCTTTATGTAGGTGCAACACACAGAAGTTTGAACAAGTAGTACAAGTTTCATAAGAGCATTGGATAAGACATAGAGTAATGTTGTGATTAAAAAAAAAATGAGATAGAAGACCTAATCAGAAGGGGAATCTGAAGTCCTTTGTCCAGGATGAACGTATACAATCCAATAGAAAGAGAAGGAACAAGCTAATGAACCCACTGCCAGAGTTATCGTTGTAATCATGAGGGGATCAACCTCCGCCAAGCACAACAATTCAACATCAAGCCTATGTACAACGGTTGTCTTTATCTTACCGTTTGACATGAGAAGCAAAACTGAGTCGAAAGCCACTAAAGTAATGCATGACTAATCAGACGAAGACATCTTTTGTCACTAAAAGAGGGTTATATTGTTATAAAGTAATGTCCCTTGGTTTAAAAAAATGCAGAGGCAACATATGAAAGACTAGTTAATACCATTTTTAAAGAACAAAGTGGTCGTAACATAGAAGATTTTGTCGATTATATGGTAGTTAAGAGTAATCAAGCCAATTCTCATATTTCTGATCTAACTAAGATTTTTTATGTATTTCAAGTAAATGTGTTTTTGGTGTCATCTCAATAAAGTTTTGGGTGTTTATGATAACTTGATGTGGAATCAAAGAAAACCCAAAAGAAAAGATCTAGGCCATTCTTGAAATGGAGCCAACAAAGCTAGTTAAGGAAGTACAAAGGTATTTAGGAAGAGTAACTACATTGAGCAAATTCTTATCCAAAGTCAGTTGGGCAATGCTTACCATTTTTTTTGAGTTATCAAAGAGAAAGGATTTCTAATGGATGAACGAGTGCCAAAAAGCTTTTGAGGAACTGGAAGATTACCTACTCAATGCTTCTATTGAGTAGACCTAAACCAAGAGGTGAGTTGTACCTTTACCATTCTATGGATGATGAAGTGGTTAGCTCGATATTAGTATGAGAAGTACATGGAATTCAAAAGTTGATCTATTACAACAACAAAGTCCTCCATATTGAAGAAATTAGGTACTGTAGTATACAAAAATTAGCATTTGCTTTGATTATATTAGCTTGAAAGTTGCGGCCATATTTTCATGTCCATACTATTTATGTGCTTACTAACCAGCCGCTAAGGCAAGTATAATAGAAGCTTAAAGTGTTGGGCAGACTAACAAAGTGGGTAAGTGAGCTTAGTAAGTTTGACATTAAGATCCAATCAAGGGCTTCCTTGAAGGCCCAGGCCTTAGCAAATTTTCTTATTAAATTCACTTTCATCAACAACTATCTTAGACACCCCATTCTTCTGCCCTTTAGTCATTTTTTATCTCTTTGTAGCACTTTGATCTTTAAGCATGCATCAACTAACTTCACAACCAACATTGGGGTATTTCCAAAATTTTATAGAATTTGGATGACCAAGTTAAACTAATTTAACACTATATGCATGTAGAGCTCAAAATTCCAAGTCCGACGATACTAAGATCACCCAAATCTAACATCATTTACTCCATTCTAAGACTCGAAGCTTGATCCTATCCTGTCCAATAATACTCGATTTTTTAATTAATCATTTCATTAGAACCCGTGCACATGTGATTGTCATAAGAATTGGTATTAACAAATCATAGTTGCATTAGAAAATATAGCCCATTGAATTCAATCATTTTTCTTGATTTCATTCAAATTGCATGAAAAGCATTCAATCTAAGACATTCAGCCGTAGTCTTTCTTTTACCTAACCACTTAAGCTCTTCTAAGAGATAAATCATTTCATTGACACATATGGGGTTGTATTCTCATTGTCACATTCTTTGCATATTCATTATCCAAATCTAGCATAACATTCATTCATTAATAAATAGACTGTTTTATTCCTAAATTAAACAATTAGTCGATCATCCAACTTTTTGTTTGTGACCATCATTCAATTAACAAACCCCCAACTTAGGATTTGATTAATCAATCATGACCTTTCAGATTATTTTTTTCAGACATTATCTCTCACTAATTGAGCATCACATCTGTTACACCACCAAACCATCTTCCGTTACATTTTCCATAGCATAGCACC